GGGGCAGGGGGAGCAGGGCTGACTGCCTTCACTGCAGGGAGGGGGCAAGGGGCAGGGGGAGCAGGGCTGACTGCCTTCACTGCAGGGAGGGGGCGAGGAACAGCCCAGGCCAGAGGTCATCTCTCTCTGTTCCCCAGCACCTGACTCAGTGTCCCCTGCCTTTCCCCCTGAGCCACCCAGCGGGCTCCAGAGGGACTGGTCTGGCCTTTCCTCCCTCGCGGGGCCTGAAATAGAAGAGGCGTGCCACTTCCAGAAATGGCCTCATCTCACCTTGGACACGCTACCCTCTACCTATTTTTGAGAGGCCACCCCTCACCAGAGGCATTCCAGTGTGAGCAGCCCCACACCCTGCTGGAGGGCGGGGTAGGGACATCCTAGGACATGCCTCAGCTATTCTCTGCACGGAAGTCCTGCTAAGCACCTGCCGGGGGGCCCAACGGTCTCCCAGGTGCTGTGCCCCATGTACCACTGCATCCAATCCCTCCCTCATCCTGGGAGTCATGACAGGGCTCATCTGGTCTGCACAGGGGTGAGAGGTGGGGACCAAGGGAGCAGATTCACCCAAGCCCGGTGGCGACCTGGGGAGTGCCACAGGACCTGGTGCTTACCAAAATAGCACAGCGGTTGGCGTTCCACACCCAGATCCACTCTTTACCAGCGAGGCAACCTTAAGTAGGTTACTGAACCCCTTCTGTGCCCTGGTTTCCCTATCCAGGCACCATTACGGTGCCATTTCACAGGGTGGCTGTGACCATGACATGAAATGGTCACTATCAAGGGCTGGGCACCACGACTGTCACATGGCAAAGCCAGAATGAGCTCCTAAGGCTGAGGAGTCTTCCCCCTTAGCCTTGTCTGCAGATGTCTCAGGTGCGGGCCACAGTCACCACTGACCTGTCAGAGACACGTGAGGAGCCACAGCAGGCAGCCTCCAAAGCTCTTACTCCCCAAAAGGTGCTCAAAATGATTTGTCGACTGAATCCCCCTTTTACAGCAGAGCAAACCAAGGCCCTGGCATCTTGTCAAAGGATTTGAACCCAGGTAGTCTGTCTCCAGAGGCCACGTTCTGAACCCCTACGCTAAACTGCCTTTCAAGAAAATGGCTAGGAGAAGCCAATGGCATGAGTCCTGTTATGATTCCCAAGTCTGTAGACAAAGAAACAAAGACCATAGGAAGGCTAGGTAATTCGACCAAGGGCAGGCAGCTCCAGAGGGGAGACCTGGGACCTGGACCAGACCCCGGCAGTCAGGCCTGAAGCACACAGGCTCGCCCACACTGCTGCAACACCTCGGGCTTTGCCTGCCGCTCCCAGGCCGTGACTTCCTCAGAGAACAGGCAGAGCCACCTTGGTACTAACCCTAACCCACAGAGCCCATCCCCCCAGCCCAAGGACCACTCCAGGGGACACCCAGACACCTACCAGGCTCCAGCCTGAGCCATCTCTTGGGCACCCCAGAGTCTTGGGGGTTAGGTGTCCTTACGCCAGCTAGTACATGGGGAAACTGAGGCACAGGGACTTGCCCACAATTAGGTAGACAGGCCCAGGCCTCCTACTTCTCCCCCTTGATCAAAAAATTAGCCAGAAGAAAATGCTTTTACCTCAGGGCCCCAGAATCTAGAACCTTCCAGGAGTGCCCCCAGCCAGGAAGAAAAGCAGGATAGGAATAATGATGACCGCTCCCACCTTATGGCTGGTTCCGGTTGGCTCTGCTTTCCCTGTGGGGGATGCAGCCCAGTGGCAGTGGGGAGCACACAATTGGACAGGCAGGGTCAGCCCCGCTGACCACACCAACTGTGTAGCTCCCGGACCAGGCCAACGGTAGTCAGGCCAGGCCAGGCCAGGCCAGGGGAGAGGACAGCAGAGCCTCGAACTGCTTCCCTAGCCTTCCCTTCCCACCCTCCAGGCACAGGGCCAGCTTCTCAGCCTCTAGACAGGAGCCCCTCTGTCCCTGCAGGATGAGCTGACCTTTAACTGGCCAAAAGGTCCCACTGGTTCCATCCCCCTGCCTGGGGGAGCGGATGAGGAGAGAGGAGGGAGGCAAGGGGTGGAGAAGAGCCCCTGGCTCCCTCACCCTCTCCTTCCTCCTCTTTCCTGCCTCTCACGGCTGCGGTCTCCCTCCGCGGGGCCATCCGCCTTCCCTCGCAGCGACTGTGTCCCCACCCTGGCCTTCCACAGCCTCTCCTTCTTTCTCCGTAATTATTTTACCTTTTGTTTGCCTGGCACTTTACTAAATGCTTTTACATTTACCATTGCATTGAATCCACACCAGGGAGAAATAGGGAGACATTGAAAATACCTTCAAATTGCCAAGTGTTCTTGTTAAAAATGCAAACATCTCCAGAACGATGAACAATTAGGCTGGCAGCCTTTGGTACCTCAGAACTAATTCATTTCATCCTCTGCCTTCTCCCCAGCCACTCGGCACAGCAGATGGGGTTGGGGCAGTGGGGAGGCGTGCTTTGGGCACCGCCTCAGCCCAGTGGGGTGTCTGGGCCCTTGGGGGGAGGAAGGGAGCAGGGGAACTAAGGGAGGCAAGAGGAGGAGCCATGGACCTGGCAGTGTTGCCTGTAAACAACATGCTCTCCTCAAGCCCTGGGTTCTAGCCCCACAGCCACCCTCGTCCCACTCGCTCTGAAATCTATCACTCACTGTGGTATCTCTAAGGTCAGAGAGATCATCTGTTTTCAAGAAAAGACCTAAAAGAATTTCAGAGTGGATTCAACAAATCCAAAATCCCTGGAGAAAAAGGTGGGAGGAGGCAGGGGGAAGGCGGGAGGAGGCAGGGGGGTACAGAGAGTCAGGAGCAGGTCAGGGGCCCAGCAGGCCTGGCTCCCCCAGCCCAGCTCTGCCACAGGGCCCAGAGTCCCCAAGATGGCACAGCCTCACCCTAGGACCAGCTGCAGCTGGGAGAAGCCCAGAGGCCGGGAGCTGGTGTCTTTGAAAGGACATATCCCAGGGCGTGGAGGTAAATCGGGAGACCCTTCCTTCAGGGGGTCCCAGTTATCCCCAAATGAAAACGGGGGAATGAGCCAACAGTCCTAAGGATGCTTCCAGATCTGCCATGCTGCGGTCCCAGGACCAAATCAGAAACGCAAGTCCATGCCAACCCCCAGACAGGTGTCTCAAGGGCTCCTGGGCTCCAGGCATGCCCCCTGTTGGAGGCCCCACCCACCGCACATATTCAAATGAACCACACAAATAAATACAGTCCATATATAACTCTCAGGGACTGAACTTGAGTGGCAGTTGACCGTCTGACATAATGTAAGGTTTTGTAGCTAAATTAGACATGCATTAATTTCAACTGCAGCTTACTTTTCAAATTTTGGAGCCTATCGGTTTCATTTCCAGCTCTTCGACATTTTCGTTGGCTGTTGATGAAAGCTTGTAGGTCCTGCATGCTGTGTCTACATTCCTAGTGCTCTGACCCCGGAGAACTCAGGCAGCGAGCCTGGAGAAATCTAACAGCAGGTTGAAAAGAAATCTAACAAATGCAGTGTTTGCTGCACAGGAGTCCTCTCAAGCTCCACTCAAGGCCACCTCCTCTGAGGAGCCCTCTCAGGCCACTCCAGCTGTCTAGAATCCCTCCCCTGCCAGTCTCAGAGCACTCACTGCTCACCGTAGATGGGACTCATTTAACAACAGCGATACACTCTCGTGTGGCTGTTTGGCTGCATTCTTTAGCTCTGTCTTCATTATCTATGCTCTGTCTTATCTTCCCCCACTGAACTGTGAGCTCTCCAAGGTGCCCTGGACCTCTCCTCTGCCTCCTCTTTGAACCCAGTATGGCGTTCACAGCCAACCAAGAGAGCCAAGGCCATGTGAGCAGGGGCAGTGTTGTTTGGAGAGGAGCTAGAAGCCACTGCTATCACCTACCCTCCATGCCATCCTCTCGATGCCCATTGAAGTTGTCATAGGAATCCCAGCGGATGAGGGGGTCAGAGGTGTTATAGTCCACGGACACACTCGGCCCGTTCTCCAGGTGTTCCATGCCTGAGAGAAATGGGGCGGGAGGGCAGTGAAGAGAAAGGAAAAAAATCAGCAGCTAGAAAAACAGAGGAAGTCAACATCCCCAGGGATGCTCCCTAAGGGACTTCTTATTTTCTTAACCATAGTGGGTGGGACCAGTAGCTTAAATTGGACAGAGAACCCAGGAGTCTGGTTTCTTGCATTCTTGAAAAGGCTCATACCAGGTCGTAGGGGTAAATCAGGACGGAACACTGAGGAATGAAGTTCCCCCCCTTCCCAGGGAGAAAGCTGGAGAGCCCTCTGGCTGGGTGTCTGTCTCGTCCTATTCTGTGTCTCTAGGGTCCCTGGGTTAGTGCCAGGGGGCCAGAAAGCCTGCCCCTGGATTCAAGGGGAGTGTGGAAGAGGCTTGTGACGAGCAGCATGGGGCCAAGGACATCAGGGAAATCACAGCCGTGATACTCAGAAGACACTAGGTCATTCTAACCAACCCCCCTCCTCCCATTTAAGATGCCCTCCACTCCAGGCAGAAATCCAAGGGGAGAAGCAGTCTCTCCCACACATCCACAGAAGGGGAAGAGCACACGAGCCCCAAGTCCTGCCTCCTAGGGCAAGTCCCTTTCCTTTCCTCTTGGCAGTCTTTTCTAGAATCTACCCAGAGTCCCACTGTCTGTAACCTAATTTCGTCTCGTCCTCATTCTGTTCTCAAACAGGATGGAGAACAACTGGCCTCCACATATAACCAGTCTAAAGGCTTAATGGCTATTATTAAAGTGGCCTTCTCATCTTCAGGTTGAACCACCTCGGGCCTCATAAATACTTCTCGTCCATCTAGCTCCTCTGCATGGCCCCCAGCCACTCCCTCCATCCACCACAGCCCTCAACCTCTGAATATAACAGGATGGTGACCTAATGGGACAAGAACAGTTTACCCAACCCAGCACCTCTTGGTCGGCTTTTTTATTTTTATTCTCCAAAGATTAAGTCATTGGTTCATGTTTAGCTGAGGGTCCACTCTAATACCCAGATCCTTTACTGCTGGCCTGCCTTGCAGCCATAGTAACTTGACAATTGTAGGGCAGATGGGGTGGAGAGAGGACAGGTTAGGATGAAAGCAAGGGCATGGAAAAAATGAATTCTCACAAGCTAATACCTTGAATTTTCTCTGGTCCATAAGAAAATACAAATTCCACTTTGCCATATTCTGGAAATCGATCATCTGAAAAGGGAGAAGAAAAGACAAAAAGGGGCAGTGAATTCCCCAAAAGGACTCAAATGTTAATCTTTCTAGACAAGATTAACATAATGTGCACATGCAGGGTTGATAATACCATATACATACGTAATGAAATGAGCCTCTTTAGCCCTAGTCCTACTTCCTGAGATAACCATGCCCAACCATTTCTATTTCTTGTTCCACTAACAGTTACCTCTAAGACTCTAAATAATAGACTCTATTTTTATGCCACTATCTCTCAATTTATCAATTTCAAGTAATCTCCACTGATTCACTATTATGAAAATGATTAATTTGGCCCGCTAATATCACTCCTATCTCCCTTCTTAAGTCAATTCTTACTATTATTATTATTATTATTACTATTATTTATTCTGATTGCCTTTGAAACTTTAGATCCTAAGCTAAACCTCTATTTCTTGATCTGTTCATTTTCAACGGTGTCTCCTGACCCCCTACATGTAAGAGGAGAAAATTTGCACCACCCCCCTGCCTCTGCCTCTACCAACTCTACCTTTATGTTGTCTGTTATTCCTTTATTTTTCCTTGTTAAGACTGATAACATTTACATTCTGTTCCGAATTATAATGGCATCTTCTGCTTTTGCCCTCCTGGCTTCAGTCCAGGGGAAGCTCATCACAGAAACATCCTTCTACTGCACTGGGGGAATCAGTTTCCTCCTCCCCCCGAGCCCCAGCCCTACTCTCTGCCCTTGGCCTGAGCCCAATCTGCACACAGATCACCATCTGTGTGATCTGTGTGGGAAGCAAAGTTACAGTAGGCATGGTGACCACTCCCTGGATGGGACGTGCCAGTGCATGTCTCCATCACTGCAGGGGTCCCTTCATAGTATCACACTTGTGTGTCTCTATCTCCAATGGGACTGTGAGTTCCCTGAGGGTAGGGCCTGACTTCTTTCTCTCTGTATCCCCAGGGTCTAGCGCCTGCCTGGCACATATAGACACACAATGATTCTTGGTGGATATATGGATGGATGAGGGATAGACAAACATACAGATGAATAGATGGATGGATTTAGATGAGTGAGTAGATGTATGGGTGGGTGGATGGATGGATTTAGATGGATGGGTGGATGGATGGGTAGATTTGGATGGATGGTTAGATAGATGGATGGATGAATTTGGATGGATGGATATGGATGAGTGGGTGGATGGATCCATGGATATGGATGGGCGGGTGGATGGATGGGTGAATGATTGGATGGATGGATGGATGGATGGATGGATGGATGGATGGACTTGGAAGAGTGGGTAGGTGGATGGGTGGGTGGATAGATGGATGGTTGGTTGGATGGATGGATGGATTTGGAAGAGTGGGTAGATGGACGGATAGATGGATGGATGGGTGGAAGGAAGGAAGGAAGGAAGGAAGGAAGGAAGGAAGGAAGGAAGGAAGGATGGATTTGGATAAGTAGGTGGATGCATGGGTGGATGGGTGGATGAGTGAATGGGTGAATGGATGTGGATATGTTCCATGTCTCAGTATGATATAGACAAAACCTCAAACAGATAGAGAAGGGAGACACCTCCCTAACCAACTCTCCTTCCCTCAGAAAATGGTTCCCCCTTCCTGACTGCCATAGCCCCCCCATTATTGCTCTTCTACCCTGTGGTATAGTTATTCCTTGCTAGGTCTGTCCCTCTACTCAGTGAGCTCACCTTTGAAGGCATCATCAAGGTCTTCCTTCCCAAAAACAACCCCGAGGTCATGGATGGCACAGGTGTGGAACTGCACACGGAAGATGACATCTCGGGCTGGGCTCCGAAACTTCTTGTGGTAGCACTTCAGCTGGGTGGGAAAAAAAGCAGAGCCCATCAGGGGACTGAGGATGAGAAATCAGGTCTCAGGGAGCCTCCTTATTAGCTCCACGACTGAGAACCCAGGGCTCACCCAAGCCCACTGAGGGAGAGGTCACCAATACCAAGCAGGATTTCAGAGCTATCTGGGGAAACTTCTAGAAAGCAGAATGTTGGAGGCCAATCTTGCCCTGTAGGGACAAAACTGTCCTCCCAAGAAGTTCCTTCACACAGAAAGTAAAAAGTAGGGGTGAATTTAAATTACAGGAGAAAAGACTGAAGTTAGAAGTGAAGGAGTCCTTGTCACCACAGGAAGCCAGCCCACACTGAGAGATATTTCCCTGAAGATATTCCAGACCAAGACACCGGCGTAGGAGAAGCGAGTCCAACTCTGAGGCAGGGGAATTCACAAGGACTACTGGAGGCTGAAAGCCTTTGCAGGAGCCCTGAGAGCCTATGGCCCCAAGGCTGGTGACTCACGAGGAGTGGTGATCTTGTCTGGAGAGGCAGGAGGGGAGCGGGAAGAGAGAAGAAAGGAGAGAAAATAAACAGGGAGGAGGGGCTCGAAACAGAGGGGCAGCACTCACCAAGATATCTCCCTTCAAGAGCAGGCCAGGCTCGATGGTGATGCAGATGCTGGTCTGGCTGTCTCCTTGGACATTGCTACGGGAGAGAGGCGAGTAGAGAGAAAGAGAGCTGTTGAGGGGGCAGGCAGCACGCTTGTTCCCTACCGCCCCCTGCCAGAGGGCTCCTAGGAAGGCTTGCTGCCTCTGTCCCTCAGCCCTGTGCTAGATGAGATCCTCCTAGCGGAGGTCCTGGCCCATCCCCCCACACCCTGTCCCTGGACCTCAGCCTCAGGCCCCAGGCACCCCTGGCCTCTTTGTCCTGTGGAATACCTACTAGATGCCAGATGTGTAGACAGGCTGCATGGCCTGGTAGATCCGGAGAAACGGCCGACACCCTATAAGGGAGGGTGATGTTAGCTAAGACAGCGGGAACGGTGCAGGGGTGGGGGAGAGGGTGAAGGAAGGAAGGGCTGGGGAGAGGGGAGGGAAGAAGGGGAAGAAGGAAAAGAAGAAGGAGAAATGGAAAGAGAAAGGAGGAAGAAATACTAACTTTTCATTTGAGAGGCATTTTTAAGTTTATAAAATACATTGCCACATCCGACATCATGTGCCAGCAGGCACTGCCAGTATCTAACCCATCAATAGACTGAGGCTCAACGAAAGCTCAGGAAGTCATGCCTTCGGGACTCCAATCCAAGCATATGTTTCTACCCTCCCCCACCCCCCACCCCAAGGCTGCCTCTTAAGAAAAGAAGATGGAAGACAGGAAGAGGGGAAGCCAGAGGGCTCAGGCAGGTACCTCCTTTAGACTCGAAGTTGGGGATGCCATGCATGATCACGTGGTGCAGAAACAAGGGCTTGTTGTTCATTTTGATGGAGCCAGAGAGCAGGCCACTGAAATAGTGCACGTACCTGGGGCAGGGAGAGGGGCAACTTCAGCCAGGAGGCCTGCCCTAGAGCAGAGCCATCCTGGTTTCTTTTCTGGGCTCACCTAGCTCCGCACCACCACCACCCTCCTAGACCTCCTGGAAGCTGGGGTCTCCTCCCCAGCACCGTCCTTTCTTGCTGCCTGGAGCCCCAAGCAGAGAGGACAAGCAGGTACCACTCAAGCAGGAGCGGAGTCAAGGCAATACTCTGCTTTGGGGTTCTCTGGCGTCCCCTGGTGGTCAAAATGAAAATCCCTCTCCAGCTTCACTCGCAGCCCAAAAATCAGCTGGACCAAAATTCCCCTCCACAACATCCCTGACGGGCATCGTTTAGCAGCTCACCACTGCACAAGGCAGGCTGATCAACCATCAAACACTCCAACACCCCTAAACCTAGCTTAAACCAAGCTTATGCTTATAACCACAGGCCCCAGTTCTGTCCCCACAGACCCCCAGCCACATGACAGTCCAGCAAACTGTAAGAGCTTAACAATTACAGTCCTTCACTTTTTTATATCACGCTGAAGTGTATGAAATCCCTTTATATCTGGTATTTAAAAACATCTAATATCTACTGTGTATTCCTCTCCCCAATTCTCTTTGGATCTTGTTGGAAGAATGCATCTCCACTCCTTCTAGAAGGGGAAACTATCCAGAAAGAGTTGCTGGCACAGCAAGAACACACAAAGCCGGGGGTGGGTGGGGAGAGAAGGAATGCTGTCTTTCAATGCACCTGCCAGAAAGAGAGGCCCGTCCTTTTGCTGTGGATTGGTCAGTGCGCCCTCCTTTTTTCTGAATGGTGAGCTGGGTCAGCCACACCAATCACAATGAATCCTGAGACTTGGCGAGAGGCAAGGGGGCTCTTTGAGGCTGGTGGAACCAGAACCCACATGACCATGACAATGGTCCCCTCCTATCTCTTGGCTCCTTGGCCCACCTCCAGGCCTGTGGGCCTCTGTCCCTGGGCCCGGGTGGGGTCACTTCAGACTACCCAAGCAAGATAATCTGATGGGCAGCGCCGGTTACTATTCAGCCCCTGACCAGCCCCCAGCCCCATTACTCAAACCGGAAACCTGGAATGGCGGTTCCTATCAGATCTCTGGATCGTGCCAACAGGATGTGTCTGTGTGCTGGGGACAATGAGCCGCCCGGGGGTGGGGTGACAATGAATGGGGGAGTTGCAGGCAAAGCCCCTCCCTCCCTCCCTCTCTGCCCTCCTCTCCTCCAACTGCTCCCGTCCCTGCAAACGACACTGCCCAGAAGGCGGGAAAGTGGCAACAAATACATAATGAAGGCAACAGCTGCATGTTCACACACGGGCACGGACAGAATCACCCACCCATAAGCAGGTGCGGTTGCAGATATAAGCTGCAAGGCAGACAGATAATGTAAACATACGCCCGACTGCGCGCTGTGTAAGCATATGCCGTGCGCTGTGGAGTCCCCTACACTCCTACGGCTGAGAGGTAACCCCGACCCCGTGCTCCAGGTGCTCTGCTGCAGGGGTGTGACCGCTCTGCCCACTCTCTCCAAGCCACACTGCGTCATCATAACATCATGCTCCTCTGTTTGTCCCTCTTATCCTTCAAGGTCAAGCTCGTGACCAAGGCCACCAGCCATATGTAGAAAGCCAGGGACCAACGAGCAGGTACTTGAATGACCGTTCTTTCCTCCCTGGGAAGATTCTCATTGATCCACAGCTGCTGCATCTGGCAGCCCAGCCAGAATTTTCTGCACATAAAGCCATCCTGTTTCTGACGGCTGACCCAGACACTGGCTCCTGGGTGTCCTGTGCCAGGTGCAAGACACCAGGCGGCCTGAGGACTCGCTTCTGCTTGGGCTTCCCACTACAATGGGAGTAAGTCCCCAGCGGAGCTGGCACCCTTCTAACAAGGCAAGAAAGATGGGGGTGATGATGAAGAATAAGAAGGGAAACCCCAGCATAGAGAGGCGAGGGGGTCCTGCCTGCCTGGTCAGTGTTCGGAGGGGCTGGAAAAATCAGTGGGATGCTTTGGCTTCTGGGCCACCGTACTTGCTGTCCCCTCTGCGTGGTGACCCCAGCCCCGCCCTCAGATGCTTCCCTTCTTCCTCTCAGAGCTCACCCCGCATGTCACCTGTTCAGAAAGTTCAGCCCTGGTGCTCACCCTATCACTCTCTAGTCCATCACGCTCTGTTTGGGTTTTGTTCCCCTTCCAAGTACTTCTCACGACCTGAAAGTTCCCTGATGGCTCATGTCCTTGGGAAACTCCACAAGACCCTGCTGAGAGGGTCAGTCCCACAGCCCCAGTGTGCAGAGTGGTGTGGCACATCACCATGTGTGGTGGGCCCGCAGCTCTGGCCACATAGGGGCAGGACCCCCTTCCCCATCTCCAGCTCTCCCCTCTGAGCCTGGGCTTCTGACTCACACTCACCTGCAGCCTCCCCACAGTCCACCAGCCCTGTGCTCTCTCAGCCATCATTAAACAGCACGTTATCCACAGAGCAGAGTCCCGGGCCAGCCCTCAGGACAGTGGGCGGCACAACCCTGGGGGCCCTGCCCTGACCTGACTTACAGGTCCCCAAGTACATTCTAGCTCTGCTAATACTTGCTATGGATCCTGGCCATGTTGAGTCCCCTCCCTAGGCTCAGGCTTCTCATCTGTAAAGTGGGGATGCCCTGGATCATCATACAGTAGCTCACCATTTGCAGGGTTGGCCTCAAATCCATCATTTCTGACAGGTGTTCCCTGACCCCCTTCATTACATAGCCCCAATCTCCTCCACCAGGTCTATCCCACTCTGTTCTCTTTCTTTCCTAGCACTAACTGCTACCTGAAATTGTCCTGTTGGTCTATTTACTCGTGCACTGCCCATCTTTCTTAGTGGAATATCAGCTCACTGTGGGCAAAGCACTTCGTCCTGCTCAACTAGATATCCCCAGCACTTGGAATGTAGTAGAGCACATAAAACTTATCCAATGAATCAATGAATCCTCTCTGCCCTGCTTCCTCCCTCGGCTGCTGTGGACTCCAATGAGACCACGTGCTTGAGAGCCCTTGGTAAAATTTTTAAAGCTCTCCCAGCAGAAGGTGACCCTTATGGTAAGAATCTGTGACCTCTCCAGGGCAGGCGGCAATGACGTCAGCCTCCTACAGGCTCACCCAAGCGCGGACACGGTCCCGCTGCCAGGACCAACATGGCATTTCCTTCTCATACAAGCTCCCTTCTTGCACCCAGACCAATGCATCCCCCACCAACGGCCCCACTGCTCTCCAGCGCTGGCCTCAGGAGCCAACGGCCATGCCCATCTGTGGGCACACACAGCTGCCCACTGGCTCACTCATGCCCCTGAGCTTACAGCACTCCAGGCTGGCACCTGAATATGCATGCTCTGTACACCCCCACCTAGGCATGGCTGTTCCACCCACTGTGGGTACGTGAGGCTAGTCCCCAAGACAGCGCGTGCGCGCACACACACACACACACACACACACACATGTGCATGCACTGGCAGTGAGCCCTGGAGACCCACCTTCTCTGGGATGGCTGACCAATGGGCACAATCTTATCCTCATAGAATCGCTTCATTGCAAACCGGTCCAGGGCCTGATCGGCGCTGCAGGGAGAGACAGGTGGTCAGAGGAGCCAACTCCCTGGTCTCCCCACCCCTGCTCCCCCAGACCTGTAGAGCCCTCCAGCCACCCTACTCTGAGAAGCTTTCAGGAAAAGAGTGCCCTGGCATTCCTGCATCCTGTATGCTGCAGGACTCAGCCCTGGGGCTTTGGAGCCAGACAGCCTGGGTTCCCATACCAAGTGTGCCGCCTCCTTATTAACCTTGTGCCTTGAGGCAGGTTTACTTAATCCTTCTGAACCTGATTTTCATTTTCTGTCAAATGAGAGTGACAAGTGCCTTCCTTGAAGGTCATTATGGTAATTAAGTGAAATAACATGTATAAAGAGCTTGGCACATGTGGGCACACAGTAGGTGCCCAGGAAATGTTCACCATTAAGGAAAGATTAGGCTGGGTTAAGTTTCTTATAGTCACACAACCACCGTCTAAACCCTTCATAGAGCATTCTATCTGTCTGCAAAGAGATCATTTTGAAGAGAGAGAATATAGCCCCTCTGTTCTTGACTCTCTACCAACATCCCATCCCAAGCCCCAAAGTCCCTATTAAAGCCCACAAGGATGAGATAACTTCTAGATGGTTCTGTCAGACCCAGATCTGATCCAACATTTCTTTCTGACTCTCTCACCTGCTCACTCAGGAAAAAAGAGGGCTATTTGCCAAGGAAAAGTGGTCCCGAGAAGGTGGCTGGATGGGGTGTCCGTGGATGGGCCTGCCTCTCGAGTCTGCTGCCACCAGTGCCCCCAGTAAAGGACTCTCCTTGCTCCTGCCTTCCGTGCACAGCCACCTGCCTCAGAGCCGTGGGCAGATCCCTCTCCTTTCCGTGGGCTCCTCCACCCCGTCCCCTGTCATTATTCTCCCAGCCAAGGAAGGGAGAGGCCATGGAGGGATGGGCAGATGGGGTTCCTGCTCTCAATATTCAGAGAATGAGAGGCTCTTACCTGGCAGAAATGTTGCTGTAGTGCATGTAAGCCGCGATGACAACACCTATCCTGCCTCGGTTTCCCTGAAAGAACCCCAAACACAAAGCCTTTATTTCTAAGGCCAGCCCTGCTGCCCCAGAACCCGTCCAGAAGCCTGGAGAAAAAGTGAGCAGCAGCTGGAGAGAGGGGTGTGGTTCAAAGGAGGGAGTGGGATGCCAGGGAGGGGAGCAGGCCAGGCTGAGTCCCAAAGAGAAGAAACGCAGTTGATCATCTACCACACGTGAGGGTCCCATAAGCTCCTAACCCCCATTTCTCAGGGGCCCCCCGGGACAGGATCTACCATCCCCTAGAAAGGAGAATGCACACACACTCACCCGAGGACACGTCTATGCATGTGTGCACGTGCTCACATACACACACGTGTGTACATGCACACACGCACACACGTACATACAGAGCAGCCCCTGCTCTGACCTTATTGTGCAGAACGACGACATTGTGAGGGTCTGCATTGAGCCAAGTGTCCATGGCCTTGCAGACGCTGCAGATCTTCTCTAGGGCTGGAGTGTGGAGGTCAGGCCAGCCAAATTCCAGGACCTGTGGTCAAAGTCATGAGTGAGAAGTGGCGGAAGCCCCAGAGACTCAACCGGGGCAGCGGGAGCTGCACCTACGCCACATGCTGGCTCCGGGGCAGCGGCCACCAGCCAACCTCGCTTCCCGCCCTCCCTGCCCAACAACCCAGAGTGGGGGCAAGGGTGTGGCCCAGAGACCCTGGCTCAGGGCCAGAGAGGAAAAGTGAAGAGCCCCCAGCCATTCACAGCTCTTTTCCAGGCCCTGACACACAAGCCATTGATTTTTCTGGCCAATCAAGAGAACCCGAAAGGGGACAGAGGGCAGATCTGAATGGCCGTCCTCAGGCTCCTCAAAACTTTGCTTAACTCACAGATCGTTAAACTAAAAGAGAACCCATGCTTGGAAAAGCCAAGAGAGCACATCTAATCCAGCCCATCTACTTTCAGAGGGGCAAGCTGAGGCCCAGAGTCCCACCTGCCCAGGGTCCCACAGCAACAGGCACCAGAATCCGGGAGGCAGAGCAGATATCCACGCAAAGCCCGGCACTCAGCCCGCCGAGTGAACAAGTGAAAACCAGCCATTGGCAATTCCCAGCCAGTTTAAATCCAAAATGCTTTTCAATAAGACTAAAATTCTCACAGCTCCAGTCTCGCCCCAGAGATGCTATGTGCACCCGTGGTGGGGGTGGGGGGGTAGACGTGGGTAGGAAATCGCTGCATCAAGCTTTGCTATCTGCAATTTGTATTACAGAAACCATAAATACAGTATTTTCCATGTTCCAAAGGGAAGCTGGCATAGAAAGGGAATAGGCTTTGCGAAGTGTCTCAGTCCTTCCCCCCAGATTCCGAAGTAGGAACCATGGGGAGAACCATGCTGTTCTCCTTCTCTTCCAGGCAGAGGGAACCCCCCACCCCTAATCCACACCAGCTCACCTTGGCGTGGAGCTTTGTGATGTCAGGCCTCCGCTCAGAGAGGTTGAAAAGCTACCAAGAGGAAAAGGAAGAGATCATGAAATGGTGCTAGCTGGCTGTCTGTCCATCTGTCTCTGTCTCTGTCTCTCTCCTCCCAACCACCCAGTGAAAATTCTATCCATGCATAAGCTTACAATGGAGTCCCATCAGACCCACACAATGACCAACACGCACTCAACTACAGGTTCTCAGGATAAAGAGGAGAGAGGAGGCGCCGGGGTGGCTCAGTCGGTTAAGCGTCTGACTTCGGCTCAGGTCATGATCTCACAGTTCGTGAGTTCAAGCCCTGCGTCAGGCTCTATGTTGACAGCTCGGAGCCTGGAGCCTGCTTCGGATTCTGTGTCTCCCTCTCTCTCTTCCCCTCCCCCACTTGCACGCGCGCGCGCGCTCTCTCTCTCTCTCTCTCTCTCAAAAATAAATAATAAAAATATTGACAAAAAAAATTAAAGAGAAGGAGAGAGAAGTACATGGACACTCAGCCCCAACCCTCAGTGAGCAGACAGACACCCAAACTGCAGGTGAGAAGGGGATGCAGCCTGTCTCATCCCATGTGCCACCCGTCCACACTGGACGGGAATCCGGTGGTGTGACATGATAAGTGTTTGGCCATCTCTGGTTTCCACTTCACGTGTCAACTTTAGAACCTCATCCGCCTAAAAATGCAACAGCTCTGTGGGAGGACGCCCTCCCTCCGAGCGTGCAAATCACCCTGAGTGGGGTCTCTCAGACCCTTGACACCCCTTTCCCGGCAGATGCCCTCCGACACCTAACCATGTCCCATAAGACTCCCCCAATCCCTGGATTTCCTGTCTCCACCTTCACCTCATTGCCCAGAAAACTCAAAGAAAACTGTGCCGCCTCCTGCCGAGGAAAGTGACCCCACGGCCTGCGATGGGAAAGCAGAGGGAGGGTGGCATAGCAGAGACCCACAGAACCCTGGACTCCTGAAACTGGGAATGATCCCAGATGGCTTCCAGTCCATTCTTGGACCCTGTAACTGTACAGACTTTATTACATTAACAACAGCTACCACTCGAGTGTCCCCAACCTGCCAGCCCAATGCTGAGGACTTTACACCTAGCGGCTGGCTTAGTTCTCTCAACAACCATAAGAGGTAGGCGGTACAATTAGACCCATTTTACAGATGCAGAACCTAAGGTTTAGTGAGGCGAAGTGGCCAAGGTCAGATAGTGAGAGCAGAGCCAACATTCAAACCCAGGACTCTCTGGTGTCTGAAGCCGGGCTCTCAACGCTGCCCAACACAGCTGATGGAGAGGCGTGTCTGTGGTGGGTTCAACAGTGTCCCACAAAAATTCAGATCCACCTGGAACTTCAGAATGTGACCTTATTTAGAAATAGGGCCTCTGCTGATGTAAGTAGTTAAGGATCTCAAGATGAGATCATCCTGGATTTAGGGCGGGCCCTAGGTCCGATGCCTGGTGTCCTTATAAGATGAGAAGACCCACAGAGAGACACAAGAAAGAAGGCAGGCCGTGTGAGGACAGAGGCAGAGACTGCGGTGATGCAGCTAGAAGCCAAGGTCACTAAGGATCGCTGGGGGGCACTGGAAACCAGGAAGGGGAAAGGCAGGATCCCCCGTAGAGCCTGCAGAGGGAGCACGGCCTGGTCAACACCTTGATTTGGACTTCCAGCCTCCAGAACTGTGAGAAAGTCAGTTCTGCTGTTTCAGGACACCAAGTTTGTGGCAATCTGTTACAGCAGCCCCAGGGACCTAATGCAGTCCCCTACGCCGGCCTCTGCTCACAGATCGGGGCGGCCCCTCGAGGCTGCACGGTCTGGTCGGTGGGTGCAGCCCAAATCCACAGGCACCTCCTTGTAGAACTGAGCCCTCCCCTGGGGCCAAGGATAGGTCTGATTCCCCATGCCAGCTCTCTGCCATTAGAGAAGAGCACCCCCGGGCCCCTCATCCACATTCGTGATGTGTTCCTCCTGGGCCAGGCACCATCCCCGTGATAGCAACATTTCCACAACTTTGCCCTCGGACTTCTCAGAGGCACTGCCGCCTCCCGACCTCAGGCAAACACCCCACCTCTCTGTGCTCCAGCAAAACCTGATTTCTAGCGCTGTCATGAAGTTTAATACGTGGAGAGCAGATAGAACGGGGCCTGTGTCATAGCAAGCACGCAATAACATGAATTGTTGTTACTCTCTCCTCCTGGTCAACACACACATACACACGAGCACACGCATGCCCACGTGCACATATACCTACACTCACGCGCACACGCACACATGCACATGGGCACACGTGACTTGGTTCCAGACGCCTCATTCCAGCCGCAGACACACTCCTCCCAGTAAAGTTGGGCTGGGGGGGGGGTGAGTGAGGACTCAGGCCGTGAGAGAGGCTAAGAGCTGGCCCAGGGCAGGTGGGCAGGGGCACCAGCAGCGAGGAGGTGGTAAGCAGAAAGGACGGGGGGTACTGGGCCCCATCCTCACCAGGTAGCTGCCTCCATGTTTGGACTTGAGCATCTGGGCCACCTCTCGGAGGTTGCTCCGAAAGTTCTCCTCGTTGGCTGTGCTGGGGAAGGAGACGGCGATGATCCTCTCTGTGACATACACCAGGTCCAGCTCACAGCTGTCCTCCGTGGTCCGGCTCAGACTCATGTTTCTGGAGACACAGTAGGCAGAAGGGGGTTCAGATCAGAACCCTGGTCCTCAGGGCAAGGTGTAGGGATCTTTGCCCCCTAGACACTATATGTGGCCCACAATTCCAACCCCGGGGGCTTGACTGTTCCCTGAGCACCGGAGGAAAGGGAGCTGGGCAGAGGCTGGCAAGGACCTCGGGCCATTTCCAAGCCAAACAGCGATGACAGCAACCCTAGATGGCCATCAATCCTGTCGGCACTGCCTTCAACCTATAAACGCAGAGGTCGGGGTCAGGATCAGAACCTGCCAGGAGCCCAGGAGTCCAGCTCAGCCCTCCAACACACTGTGGCCACCTGGTCTGGCAGAAGTCTTTCAAAGGATCCTGGGACGGATCTAGTACAGGAAGGAGAGCGGCAGGTGCCCCTGGAGCTGAGCATTCTTCCGCCCTCCCCCTGCTCCCGAGCTATAGTGTGGGCAGGGGGGTGGGGGGGAGGCTTCTCAGGGGAAAGGGCAGCTCAGGTGACAAGCTCACCTGGGCTCCAGTAAGCCAGACCACGGCGCACATTCCAGCCCTCCCCAGAGGCAGGCCAGCTCCCGCCCTTTGTTCCCTGGCTCTCCCCCACCTCTGGCAGCTCCCACCACCTTCCAGGGCTATTTCTTGGCTGCAGCCTCCGTGATTTCTAAGAGGGTGCTGAGCTTACTGCTGCGGCAGCAGGTGGCCACCTGAGCTCCTAAAGGAAGTGGGGAGCCCCTGTACCGGGTGAGGGGAGGCGGGGGCTCACGCCTTTATACCTCATCCAGGTTCTCTTCCAGCAGGAGGGCCCAGATTGGCCCCCAGGGAGCTGACAAGAACGGGAAATGGGTCTCAGGACACTGAAATTCCATTCTGAGGCCCACCTTACATCCTCCCTGTCACCATACCTTCTTACCCTGTCACCCGCCCCCTATTGTCTCACTTCCTCTTTGTATCCAAGGTGGGCAACATTTCCTTCTAGGACTCTTTCACTACAGCAGGGTCAAGGTGAGACGGGAGGGGCAGCAGAGAGATACCAGCAGGGTATTTCAAAGAGACAGGGTGGCCCTGGCAGAATCCAGATGTCCACCAGGGTTAACTTGGAACCCAACTGTGTACATAGGGCTTGGAGATGGGGGAGCCAAGGGCGAGGTATGGCTTCTCCAAGGTGACAAGGACAGGAGCCAAGTGGTAGAGAGGCCAGTGGGCTGTGGTAAGGATCCCAGTTTGAATTTGACCTCTGAGCCGGGCCATTCCTTGTCCCTAAGATAAGGTTCTCACTGCAGCCTTGGGCGGGCGGGGATGGGTCCAAGGCAGAACGGTGCCACCACCTGGACAACTTCAGCATCGCACCCTGCACCCACCCACCCCAAGGTGGTTCTCAGCTGTAAGGGAAGAAGATTCTCTAAGGGGCTGCTCAGGTCTGCGGGCAGCTGGCAGCCCGGCCACAACCCACCGGGGGCTTTAGCTACACACCAGCCCTCTCTGGCTGGAGCTCCATTTCCCTGGAGCCAGATTCTCACTTGTCTCAGGAGCCTCAGAGGTGAAGGTGAGGCAGAGAGGGAAGGGCCCAAGCCAGAAAAACCACAGAACCTGCACACAGATCAGCAAGGCACCCAGTCCTTGTGCATCCCTGCCCCCAGCCCCTGCCAGCCCAGACAGTTAGAGAACTTTCCTTTTCTAAATGACCCTCAACATCAAAAACCCTGCCCACAGAGAGGACTTGGATCTAGCATAGACTATGACGCCAGCCAGTCCCGAAGGCACACCCAAGTCTTGCCTCTTGTTGGTCGCGTGACCTGTAACAAGTCACCGCACCTCCCTGAGACTCAGTTTCTCCATCTGCCAAATGGGAATAAAAATACTTACCCTATAGGGTTGTTGCAAGGACTAGATGGGATCGTGCAGGGACATAAAAAAAAAAAAAAAAAAAAAAAAAAAAAAAAAATCCAGCTCAAGGCCTAGCTTCGAGCTAGAACTCAAAACATGACCATTTCCAAGGGTATGCAGCTACCGGCATCCTCTCTCTGTGGCTTGCGCATCCACCCACGGTCCCTACCTGTGGCTTTATGACTTCGGTCTCAGGCACCCAAAAGCATGATTTGCTGGAAACACCCACAGTGACCTCACAGCGGCACCCCCATCCCTAGCCACCCCCCCCCAAACAGGCCAGGCATACCTGATGGGCTGGGGGTGGGGCTGGACACTCGGGGTGACTCTGCTGGAGCCCTAGGACAGAGAAAAGACAAGCGGCATTATGGAGGAGGCTGGCGGAGAGATGTCCCCGGGAGCATCAGGGCTGCGGACAAACACAGATGCTCTTATTTCTTGGCCAAGATTCCAGTGCGGGCACCCTAACATCCAGGCTACACAGCAACCTAAGGCCAAAAGCGACCAAGGCCGATCGCTTGTGAGTGTGCATGCGAGCCCCCAAAAGGCCCAGCTCTCCCTCCCCAGGGAAGGAAGAAATCCCAGATGCTGAGAAATGTCTGGGCTGGTGCCATCTGCACTGAGTACACACTCAATAAAAGAGTTTCAAAATGGACGGAAACACATTTCATCTTGATTCCCTGGATGCCGTAACCGTAACCCCCAGGGGAGAATACCGACCGCGAGCATGACAGAAGGAAAAGACCGGTTGTCCTGCTCTGAACCTTGACCCCCTGACCACCACCATCCCGCAATCCTCCCCTTCACAGCAGCAACAAGGAGCCATTAGAGCAGAAGTTGTGGCTTGAGAGCAGCCAGGGGTGGCGTGTACCCACGGAGACCAGTGCTGGGCAGCAAGTTACCCTCCTACGGACCCACCGCCCACTAGGTTACCCCCTCACCCGCTCCCCTCTCGAGGGTTGTCAACTGGCACAAATTTAGGCAAACGGACCCCAGTTCGGGTCCCAAACAGCCCAAGACGACCCGATGGCACCGTGATGGAAGCTAAGGGTCACCCTGCCGGCCGACCTGGGAGTACTCGATGCTCTGGATCTCTGTAACGTCACATGTAAGATGGGGCAATCCTTACAGAGTTGTTTGAAGATTAAAAGGAAGTATGCATATAAGGCACTTCTTCATTGTTACTGTTACTGCATCTAGTACAATTAAAAGGGTGCTTACACATACAACCAACATTCACCTCTACACACAGAGCCCTGCATCACCTCTCCCCACACCTGTCAGCCACCTCACGTGATGCAAAATCAACCGCCCAACTTCTAGATTCCCAGGCCGAGCCAGGGCTCTCTGAGCCCATCGGCACCTTCCAAACATCCCTGTGCCTCCCCGAAACCAGCCTTTCCCCACCACCAAGTTGCAACCACCTCTTGGAGGAGACAGGACCACAGTCTACCAGGGAGAGGAGAAACTGAGGCACGGTGACTCACCCCCAAGTCCTGGGGAAGTTGACAACTGGCAGGACTCACCCTCAGACTTTGGGTTTAACCACTGGGGCCCTGAGGAGAGCAGCCGCTTTCGGCCTCCTCCAGGCCCCTGCAGGGCCGACAAGGCAGGGGCGGAGAAGCCTGGAGGCCGGGCTCCTGGTAGTGCCCAAAGTCAGGGCAGCCCCACTAAGAGGAGGTGTCTCCATCCAGCCACCCGTGAGAAGGCTGCACCCAGAGCCCCCTCTGCGTGGGCTACAGCTCAGCTCCGAACCACTCAGCCTCTGCAGTAGCAGCAGGAAGAACCAAGTGGGGCTGTTGGGGAGGAAAGTGTCTGTCTCCACAGCCCCCTGGCCTTGACAACTTGGGTTTGCATGAGTCAGGCATGGTGGGGGGGGAGGGGGCGCGGGTAAGAGGGATCATGTTTGGTTTTCAAGCCCCAAACCAGGCTGTTCCAAAACTACCCGCCTAGAGGAACACAGAGACCCAACACTTCATCCGTCTTGATTTCACTGGTCCCTGATGAGGAGTCGCTGGACCGCCCCAGGCCCTGCTCCAGGCCCCGGGGCCACCCTGCTATAAATAGCCCCTCGGGTTTCATCTGTTGCTGATCCACAGCCACTTTGGAGGAGGCCACCACAGCTGCCTCGAACAACTGGAAGCCACAGCTGCAGCCGAGGCTTGCGGTGTGGTCAGGGCCATGGGTCTGGGCTCACGGAGCTGCAGGGAGACAACGTGATATTGAGGCCGGCTTGGCGAGGGGACTGGGGAACCAAGGGGAGCCAGAAGCCTCCTCGGGCGCAGGGGTGAAAAGGAAGAACGGGACAGGAGAGCTGGATCCCGTTTCTCCACCCCCCTCCCAAAGTTACAACACTCCACATTCCTTAACCTCCCCACCCCAAAAAAGCCAGGGAAGATAAATAAAAACTTGGCCCCAACAGAGTCTGGCCGTGCCGCCTCCAGAGGTGATAAGACAAAGTCCAAGCCGGCTCTGCTCCAGGCCAGCCAGGGAAGGGGCAGCAGGGGAGGAAGCTGCCCTGGACCGTGACCCCACCAGATGACAGGGACGGGAACAGCTGGATGGTCATCCCCTGTTGAATCACTGGGCCGTCCTCTAACTGACGGGGCTTCCTGTTTTCTGCAGAGTTCGAGGACATGTGACACTCGCTGGCAGAAAGCAGACACACGGGTGACAAGCCTGAGTCTCGTGGACGTGAAGAACCACACATAGTTGTGGGGGCGGGGGGTATGAGCAAGCACGGCCTCACGCTCCAAAACACACAGGTGACCTCACACATGAGGCCAGAGATGGGCACCCCCAGCACACGCCTCAGCACACACACCCTCTCTGAGAGGCTGGGAGCCCCCTGAGAGATCAGTCATCTCTGCTGTCCGTCATCACGCTCCTTCCCTCATTCCAAAAACCCTCGCTGAGTGCCACCAGCGGTGTGCCAGGCAACGTGCTAGGTGCTGGGGACCGGAGGAGGCGAAATCCCTGACCTCAGAGAGCTTATACTGGAGCTGTTCTCTTCAAGAATAGGCATGAGACTCTGCTGCCGGGTCTCACTGGCCAGTCTGTAAAATGGGTATAGCACAGTGCTCGTGTGATCTTATGTGATTCACCTGTTCCACCTAAAGCCCCCAGGGGAAACTACCAGAGGGCTTTACAAAAAGTACTACAAAGATTTTATTTTAAAAAGAAAAAAGAAGCTCTCTGTCAGCCTGTAATCCCATGCTTCTCCTCTCTGGGGCTCTCAAAGCCCTTTGCCCACTAGGCTTTACCTCCCCCCCCCC